AGAGCAACATTTGAGAAATCGTATCGTAGCTGCAGCGAACAGAATATCGCAAGAACAGTGCCTGGCTGCTACAAGAGCCGTGTTTGACAGATGCAATGCTTGTATTGCTGCAAGAGGTGCACATTTCGAACAAAATCTTCATTAAAAAGTTTATAAATAAAATAATTAAAATAATAAATTAAATATATTTTTTTCTTTTTTCGTGATTTCCTGCGAAACAAAGCAAAAAGGAGCATATGTCTATAGGACTTTTTTTCTTAGTTTTTTACTCCTCTACACGCTCCCGAAGTTTTGCCATTTAATTTGGAAACACCCTGTATACATGAGTTATCGCATGATAAGTAATTTTTATATCTCTTTTGTTTGTGCATATATGGAAAAATAATCTGCTTAGAAAATTCAAAAAGTAGGGGAGACGGAGCTCGTTGGCACAAGAGGCATGCGTTTATGTATTTATAAAGAAAGAAACAATGGAAAAGTTACAAAACATCTTTCTTTATAACATAAGTACTTTTTCCTAAGTTTCATTTAAATCAAACAAATATTACAATAAAAAAAGAGAAAAATTTGATTCTAGTGAAGGTAAGTAAATTTTCAAGCGTATATAATTTTGTATTAATATCGTTCAGCTTGAGATAATAAATTTAACATAAGTGTCGTATTGTTAGCCAAAAGAAAAGTTATACTATATTAGTTAAAAGAATGGCTATAATATAGAATGTTACTATACGATATATTATTTTGAGTAATAATAGTAATTTATTATTCAGGGATGGAATCTGCTTCTTTTACCGTTACTTTCTATAGTGATTTAGTAATGACATTGCAATTTATTGCGCCGTTTACGATAACTAACTAAAAGCTAAGATTGGAAAAATCACTTTTGAAATGTAACTTGTCAACATTATTTATTGAAAAAAAGAAACTCATTATTTGTAACGCGTGACTTGTTACTTTAACTCGTTACAAGAATTGTATTCAATACACAATGCATAATAGACAAGTTACTTTTCAAAAATGACTTTTCTCTAACCTTAGCTTTTAGTTAAATATCATTACTATCACAAAAAATTGCGTGGCATTACCAAATCATTATTATAAAAAGTAACAATAAACGGCGCGTTACTTAAACTACTTCCTATCCCTGTTAGTAAAATAAAATTATATGTACATAGAATTGAGGTACGTTAGCCCTTTTTAAGAATAAAAAAAGCTTAGTTTGACTTGCTATTGTCACGCGTGTGAACATTTAGTTACAACTTAACTCGACAAAACGCTTTATATTATATTTTTATATTAAAGTAAGTTACAACTAAAAATTGTTTAAATTTTTTTTCTATAATATAATAATATTTTGCTATTTGATCATTACAGAACTTCAAAAGATACAATCTTTACCAAAGAATATATATATGCAGTCTGTTTTTTTATGTCTATTACATTTTCATTAGTTTAATATAAAATTTATTGTATAAGCAACTTACATCGTGATATGGCACGATATAATATCGATTTACTTCACTATGAGGGCAAGCTGACTATAATGAAGTCTGTTAGTATTTTACTTACTGCAAAAAAACTATACGATATACCTATAGAACCATTCCTGGCATGAAGATATAAAGAAAGATTCTTTCTATCATATTAGTACATTTTAATCATAATAAATTACTCTAAAAAATTAATGCTATTAAATAGTTTAATGCTGAAAATTATAGAAACTATGTAAACTATGTAAACTATGTAAAAAATTATGTAAAGCTCCGATTTACCCTATATTTTTTCAGTAATATATTAAGCAAACTAAAATAAATATTACAATTATTCCTTATTGAAATATATTATGAAGTATTCTCTTCTTAAAAGTTTTATATCAAAATATTTTCACACATAATCAAATTTTATATAAAGTTAAATATTAAATTTTAATCATTTCTTTTAGTTTTTTCATCAACTTCATTTATTTTTAGAAATTTCTGTATGTATCTATTTTTATACACATTGCGTATCTATTTTTATACACGTTGCGTTGCACCTAGTTTTGTCGTCATTGTGGTTAACTACCCGTAATTAATTATTATTTAACAGCTAACTTAGCGTTTGGTGGCGATTGTTTTCCACGCCATTGCCATTATTACCGTTTGCAACGTTGTAAAATTGTAAGCGATCACCTTTGCCCGGATGTCAGGTTCAAAACACGGTAATAATTTAAACAATTTAAAGATAAAGGCGAAATAATACCGAGAGCGTAGCTTTCAACGACTAATAAATTTTAAGCCACTAATAAATTTTACAGCAATATCTGGCTATATTGTAGATAACTCCTATATCCGAGCTTCGATAAGGTATTTAATGGAAAGACATTGAACTGCTCGGAAATTAGCATAGAATATTGCTAATATTATCCAGAATTATTGTTGCAACGTTGTGTAGATTAGTTTAAATGAAAATGACTATTATCGATTATAATCTAATCGAACGTGTTTTCTAATTTTCTCTCGATTGATTACTTTTTCGACATATTTTCGAATAAAAATGACA